CGCGAGAAGAGATTCCGCCCCCACCAGCGTCACCTCTAGCCCGTGCCTAGTCACTCCCGGGCCGCTCTGGACCTCGCGGAGGCCTAGCTCTCGGTGGTCCCAGAGGGCCCCGCTCCGAGCCCCGCCCTGCCCCGCTCGGCTGGAGTGGTTGGAGCCGCGGGGCTGATCCGTGCTTGGCCGGATGGTGTCCGTCCGCGTCACTCACTATCCTCGGCCCACCCCTAAATCCGCTAGGCGCGGCCCGAGAGAGGCCCGCACGCGGGCCCGAGCCACAGGGAATGGTGGGGCGGGCGAAGAGCACCGGCTCTCCTGGGAGGCGCGGTCACGTTCAGCTGAGCAGCCCAGCGCCTCGCGGTTCTCCCCACTGCGCCTGCGCAGCTATGGGCTCGGCGGCGGGCGCGCGCCTTGTGGTCCCTATGGGGACGGCGCCGCAAGCGAGCGACTTTCCGGCGTCTGGCGTTACCATGGATGCGCTCCCGCCTTTTCCCGTGCGCGGGCCCGCCTTTTCCCGTGCGCGGGCCCGCCTTTTCCCGTGCGCGGGCCCGCCTTTTCCCGTGCGCGGGCCCGCCTTTTCCCCTGCGCGGGCCCGCCTTTTCCCCTGCGCGGGCCCGCCTTTTCCCCTGCGCGGGCCCGCCTTTTCCCCTGCGCGGGCCCGCCTCTCCGGCACACACTCGGCAGCTCCGCGGGCGCTCGAGGCTGCGGGGATCGCGGACGCCTGACTGGCTGACCTCGCTTCTCCCTAGTCGTCCTTGTCTGGCCCCAGGCCGTCTTTGCCACCCTGGAACCTAGCTTAGTTAACGCCACTGAGCTGCATCTCACACCCACGCGCTCTGGAGCACTCACCAAGCTGGAATCCATGCACTTTATTTTTAAAATAGAGCCGGAATCTCGGAAGCTCAGCAGGGTCGGGCCCGTTAGTACTTTGATGGGAGACCGCTTTGGAACACCGGGTGCTGTTGACTAAAGCCGCGTGCGGTGGCCCACGTCTGAAATCTCAGCACTTTGGGAGGCTGAGGCGGGCAAATCACGAGGTCAGGAGATTGAGACCAGCTTGACCAACATGGTGAAACCCCGTTGGTTTCAAAAATAAAAATACAAAATTTAGCCCAGCGTGGAGGCGCGCGCCTGTAATCCCAGCTACTCGGGAGGTTGAGGCAGGAGAACTGCTTAACCCGGGAGGCAGAGTTTGTAGTGAGCCGAGCTCGTGCCACTGCACTCCAGCCTGGGCAACCGAGTGAGACTCCGTCTCAAAACAATATACATAAATAAATTAGACATAGACCGTTGCCGGGTGTGGTGGCTCAAGCCTGTAATCCCAGCACTTTGTGAGGCTGAGACAGTCGAGTCACTTGAGGTCAGGAGTTTGAGACCAGCCTGGCCAACATGGCGAAACCCCGTCTCTATTAAAAATACAAAAATTAACCAGGCATGGTGGCTCGTGCCTATAATCTCAGCTACTCGGGAGGCTGAGGCAGGAGAATCGTTTGAACCTGGGAGGCAGAAGTTGCAATGAGCGGAGATCGTGCCACTCCACACTCCAGCCTGGGCAACAGAGCAAGACTCCATCTCAGAAAAAAAAAAAAAAAAAAAAAAACACACACACACACACAGACCAGGTGCTGTAAGCTGAAATAAATAAATGAATAGCTAGAGAGGGGATCTCACTATATGGCCCAAGCTGGTCTTGAACTCCTGGGCTTAAGTGATCCTCCTGCCTTGGCATCCCAAAATGCTAGGATTACAGGCATGAGCCACCATCCCCAGCCTCCATGAGCTTTTTGGTACCAATTTTTCCCAGTTTGCACTGGGGAGCCCCCACCTCAACCCAGGTGGTTTGGGCAGATGTGGGTACATAGCCCAGGCCCGCAGCACAGATCAGTGCATCACCCTGGTCCTGGTAATGGCCACTTTGAACCTGTGAGCATTATGGGACTTCTCTCTGAACTATTAGGGCCTCTTCTCTTTTAAACCTGTGGCTGTGAGCATCTGTCAGCAGGGGCGGCTGCAGCCTTCTTGCCCCCATGAGGGATGAATCTGTCAGAGAATGGAGTCCATACAGAAAAGCAGAACTGAGGGATGATGTGTTAGTTTCCTGTGGTTATGCAGCAAATTACCACAAATTTGGAGGCTTAAAACAACAGAAATTTATTCTTTCACAGTTCTGGGGACGAAAAGTCTGACATTGATATCACTGAGCTGAAACAAGATGTTGACAGGGCTGACCTCCCTCTGGAAGCTCTAATGTAGAACCTTTTCTTGCCCTTTTCAGTACCTAGAGGTGCATTCCATGCATTCCTTGGCCTACAGTCCTTTCCTTCATCCTCAAATAAGTGGTAACATCTTACTCTTTCTCTAAGTTAAAATATGTAACATATGTTCATTTTATCTCATTTGCATAAGAGTCAATTTTAGCTTAAAAATTTTTTTTCAGGCCAGGCGCGGTGGCTCACGCCTATAATCCCAGCACTTTGGGAGGCCGAGGCGGGCGGATCGCGAGGTCAAGGGATCGAGACCATCTGGTCAACATGGTGAAACCCCGTCTCTACTAAAAATACGAAAATTAGCTGGGCATGGTGGTGCATGCCTGTAGTCCCAGCTACTCCGGAGGCTAAGGCAGGAGAATTGCTTGAGCCCAGGAGGTGGAGGTTGCGGTGAGCCGAGATCGCGCCATTGCACTCCAGCCTGGGTAACAAGAGCGAAAATCCGTCTCAAAAAAAGAAAAAAAAAAATTTTTTTTTTCTTGGAATAGTCTCAAAAAACAAGAAAAGATATATAAATAATTAAAAAAAATTTTTTTTTTCTTTTTGAGGCGGAGTCTTGCTCTGTTTCCCAGGCTGGAGTGCAGTGGCGTGATCTTGGTTCACTACAACCTCCACCTCCTGGTTTCAAGCAATTCTCCTGCCTCAGCTTCCCGAGTAGCTGGGATTACAGGCACTTACCACCACGCCCGGCTAATTTTTGTATTTTTTTTCAGTAGGGACAAGGTTTCACCAGGCTCTTCTCGATCTCCTGACCTCGTGATCCAGCCGCCTCGGCCTCCCAAAGTGTTGGGATTACAGGCGTGAGCCACTGTGCCCAGCCCAGCTTAAAAATTTTTTTATCAGCTTGGGCAACATGGTGAAACCTCATCTCTATAGAAAAATACAAAAATTAGCCAGATGTGGCTGTGTGTCCCAGCCAGCTACTCATGGGACTGAGGCCCTTGGAAACCCCAGTGAAGGCTCTGGCTTAGAGCTCACCCTTGCTCCTGCCGCTGCTGCCTCGGACAGATGCTGGTGCTTTCTCATGTGTCCTTCCTCAGGGGCCGCACCTCCTGTTTCTAGGATCTATGAGCATAATGAATTTTGTTTTCCTGAGCTTGTCCTGCGTCTCCTCTTCTGGCCACACCTGACTGAGCAGCACATAAAAGCCACAGAACACCAGGAGAGCTGCTGCTTGGGGAATTCCTGCAGGAAGAGTCCTGGGGGATGTGGTGGGGGGAAGGCAAGGACTGCTCTCCCTCTCCTGGAGGCTGGGGAGGGCTTCAAGGAGACTACAAGGTGGAAGGAATCTTGGGCAGGGCCTGCCTCATCAGGATGCTTTCCCCAGAAAAGAAGGATTTAAGCTGCTGATGGATGAGTCCTAGATTAACCAAGACCTGGGCCTTCTGGGGGCTGTGGAGGACTGAGGACATTATGAGGTGAGTTTCTCCCTGGGTGGATTCCCCAGGGCCTCTGAGGCTGGTTTCAGGCCCTGCCCTTTGGCTGCCCCACTGGAAGCTCAGCATCCACACCTCAGAGGTGCTTTCCCTGGTCTGACCTTGGCAAGGTCAGATAGAGAGGTACCCCAGGAATGTTCACCAACGTCTGGGGCATAAACAGCACCCATCTACACAGTACCATTAGGGCCACAGAGTGTGGTAAATGTCAATGGCCGGCTCAGGTGGTCCCCAGTGTGGCTGCGGGGACCATCTAGGAATCTTCTGCTTCGGGGTCCCAGGCCACGCTTTGGAAACTATTGGAAGCAACAAGGCCCAGGCCCTGAGGGCCCAGCTCTGCCCTCTCCGGGGCTCTGGTTGAGCCATGTGCAAGCATCCTCCTGGCCCTCCCAGCTGGTGTGAGGAGGAAATGCACGCCAAACGGCAATGTCCTCGAACAGGTCTGTCCATAGTCAGCCTTCCCCTGTCGGCCTCTGGAGTGGGGGAGCCTTGGGTCTGTCTGGAGCCAGTGTAGATGAAATGCAGAAAGAAATTGGAATCGCAGCCATGGACAGCCACTCATATAGCTGGGAAGAGGTGGACTCCCACCTCTGTGGTGCTGGGGGCATCATGCCAACAACTCTGGCGCCCACTTTACTTCCACTCACACCACGGAGCCTTGGGGAGATGCGATTCAGCCTGATGTGCGTCCGGGGAAAATAAGGAGACCCCGCTAGTCAATCAAACCAGGGCAAGCTTGCCAGGGCATTACACTCCACCTAAGGGAACCCTTTCTGCAGAGACTACTGGGCTGCCAGGGCTGGGACAGGCAGAAGGCTGCCCCAAGGTCTCACCTCTGGAGGGTCACGAGCTGTGCCGGGCCGGCTACGGCAGAGGGTGTGCAAACACCCTGAGGTCCCAAGGCTCCTGAATCCGCCTAAGGACAGGCAGAAGACTGCCCCAAGGTCTCACCTCTGGAGGGTCACGAGCTGTGCCGGGCCGGCTACGGCAGAGGGTGTGCAAACACCCTGAGGTCCCAAAGCTCCTGAATCCGCCGTAAGAGGTCCTAGGTTCGAATCCTGCCTCCGCCATCTTATGGTCGTGCCTCCGGAGAGTCATTTTTCCCTGTTTCCTCACATACCAGAGAGCCCAGTAACACACACCATATCTCTGCGGAGAAAAAGACCCCAGAGGTTGTGGACACAGTGCCTGGGCCACATAGCGCCCCGTAGAGATTATTACTGCTTTTGCCTGCAACTGGATGCTGCGTGCCCAGTTAGAAAAGGTTAAACAAAACTTGAACAGTGGAAGCCTGTGACACCATGTGTACAAAGTCAAGTTTAATCAAGGTTACAAACGTTTGTGGGTTTTCAGGAACAAAGGCCTCTCCTGGACGCAGAGTTCGCTTTGGCGACGCGTCGACTCTCCACTCCTGGCGGTCAAGGCGCGGCGCAGCCGGTGTGCCGCTTCTGGTGCTCGTTGAGGTTGGAGCGCTGGCTGAAGGCGCGGCCGCACTCCCCGCACGCGTAGGGCCGCTCGCCCGTGTGCGTGCGCAGGTGGCGCACGAGGCTGCAGGTGCGCACGAAGGCCTTGTCACAGTCGCGGCAGATGTACGGCTTCTCGCCCGAGTGCAGGCGCTCATGCTGGCCCAGCTCGGAGCAGCCGCGGAAGGTCTTGCCGCACTCGGGGCAGCCGTAGGGCCGCTCGCCGATGTGCACGCGCTGGTGTTGCCCCAGGCCCGAGCGGCCCTTGAAGGCCTTTTCGCACAGTCGGCATGCGTAGGGCTTGGCGCTACTGCGCGTGCGCTGGTGGCGGCTCAGGTTCGAGCGCTGGTTGAAGGCCTTGCCGCACTCCGGGCACGCGTAGGGCTTCTCGCCGGTGTGCACGCGCCGGTGCTCCACGAGGTGAGAGAACAGGCCGAAGGCCTTCGCGCACTCCACACGCTCGTACGGCTTCTTCCCGGCTCCCGACACCCGTCGGGGACTCCGCTCGCCACAGTCCCCCCAGGGCGGGCGCTGCAGCCAGAGGGCACGCTGGACCATGACGGGGCAGCGGCGGTGGCGCTCCGCCAAGTGCGTCTTCTGGTGGCGGTACAGGCCGGAGCAGCGCACGAAGGCGCACTCGTAGGGCCGCTCGCCCGTGTGGATGCGCTCGTGCTGCAGCAGGCTGGAGGTGCGCGTGAACGCCTTGCCGCACTCGTCGCAAGCGTACAGTCGCTGGGCCGGGGGTTCGGGAACATCCAGGCAAGGTCGCGAGGTTTGGTCGCACTCGGGACACACTGGGGGGCCTTTGCCCGGCTGCTGCTGTTTGGGGCGAAAGCGCTTCCCGCACCGGGCACACAGACTGGGCTCCTTCATCGCCTGCAGCCGCTCTTGGGGGATCCGCGGGGCCCTCCAAGCAAAGGCCTCGCCGCACGCGCAAACCCGGGGCTGCTCCACCGAGGGGCCTCTTCCGCGGGAGGTCGGCTTTGGGGTCTGCGGGTAGGTCGGAGCGCCAGTCCGCGGTTGGCACGGCCAGCAGTCCGTGTGGACCTCACACAGTCCGAGGGTGGTTCCGGAGTCACTCCGGACAAGGGTCACACACGGGGGGCTTCTCCCCAGCGGGCGCCCCGCGATGCAGCGCCACGCAGGAGTTCCTGCTGCAGTTCCCAGCAGGCTCCGGGCTTCCACAGGGGCCCTCCCCAGCCTGCAACCCCTCGGGGGTAACTAAGTCCGGGTCCTGAGAATAGGCGGGGCCGCACGGCTCCTGCACTAGGGGTCTGGTCCCTGGGCCGGGGGTTACCCCGAGGCTGCAGCCCCGTGAGCCCCACCCTGGGGGAGTCGTCATGCCACCCGCCGCCCCTCCAGGCAGGTCCGCCTTTTGACTGGGGCGGCTCTCTGCCCGGTCTTCTTCGAGGGGCCTCGGCTCCTCGGGCCTCTTCTCCCGGGCCCCGGAGACACCTCGGGCATCAGCCTTGGGGATTCCTCCCTGCCCAGCCTTGTGGGCCAAAGCCTCCATCCTGGGACTGGCCCCTAGCACAGAGTCCTGGCTGTAGGATCTGGAAAGCAGGGAGAAATGGAGTTGGCAGTTCCCAGGAGAAGAGGAAAACTGGGACAAAGAGCGACCACCCCACAGCTGGCACCTACTGGGAGGCCCCCAGCTTTCTGCAGACTCGAAAGGGTAAATGGAGTCAGGGCCTCCTGCCCCTCTTCAAATTGTCAACACCCAGATCCCAGAAAACAGCTTCTCGGGCTCTCTCTGCACACATCACTGCTCCTCCTCCACACTGGATCCTAAAATATTGTGCCCCTGGCTAAGGCCCTCCCTGGTCCCCTTTCCCCAAGCAACAGGGACTCCGGGTCCTCCTGGCTCCATTCACTGCCATTGTCCAGCTCTTCTGGGAGGTGTGAGGTGGGACTCACCTGACAGCTGAGAGCCTGGCCAGGAGATCCTCACTGCGGAGGCCAGTGCTGGGCTGCCTCTCCCCTCTTCAACCAGGTAACCGTGGTTGTCTCAAGCCTGGCAGCGTCATCTACAAAATGGGTATGATAATGGTAAATGTAAACAGCTGAGCAGGGAGACAGGCAACCCAGTTCATTCCAGCAAGTGTGGACATTAGCAAGGCCTGGTGCCTGCTATTACTATTTTAAAATTCTGCCTTGGCTATGTTAGTTACCTACTGCTGCTTTAACAAACTGCCATCACCACAGTGGCTTGAGACAATGCAAACTTGTCATCTCACAGTTCTGGAGGTCAGAAGTCCTAAATGAAGGTTTCAGTAGTGTGGGTTCCTCCTGGAGGCTCTTGGGGAGGATGTTTGCTAACCATTTCCAGCTTCTAGATGCCACCTACTTTCCTTTCTTCCATCTTCAAGCCAGCAGTGAGACATCTTCGTCTCTCACTTTCTGGGCTTGTCGTCAGATCTCCTTATACTCCTTATAGGACTTGGATCCTTCTGCCTCTTGTGATCACACTAGGGCAAGCAGACATAATCCAGGAATCCCCCCATCTCAGGATCCATAACCTCATCACACTCAGTTCTTTTGCTTTGTGAAACAACATATTCACCGGTTCTAGGGACCAGGACATGCACATCTTTTAGGAGGCCATTATTCTGCCTACAACAGTCGACTTTGCCAAGCTCTTCACACCTTACAGGGAAAACACAGTACATGCATCAAGATGCCATTTAGGGCCGGGCGCGGTGGCTCAAGCCTGTAATCCCAGCACTTTGGGAGGCCGAGGCGGGTGGATCACGAGGTCAAGAGATCGAGACCATCCTGGTCAACATGGTGAAACCCCGTCTCTACTAAAAATACAAAAAATTAGCTGGGCATGGTGGCGCGTGCCTGTAATCCCAGCTACTCAGGAGGCTGAGGCAGGAGAATTGCCTGAGCCCAGGAGGCGGAGGTTGCGGTGAGCCGAGATCGCGCCATTGCACTCCAGCCTGGGTAACATGAGTGAAACTCCGTCTCAAAAAAAAAAAAAAAAAAAAAAAAAAAAAAAAAAAAAAAAAAAAAAAAAAAAAAAAAAAAAAAAAAAAAAAAAAAAAAAAAAAAAAAAAAAAAAAGATGCCATTTAGGTGAAACACACGTTTAGCCTGAGTTAGGAAGGATACACACAGCTCAGACCACTCCCACCTGGGGTGTGGCTCACTTGGCTGGGCTCAGTGGTGACTTGCATTGGGAGGACTCCAATCTTTGGGCACTATGCATGGAGGGGTTGGGCAGAGGAGAAGGCCCACCTGGTAGGCAGACTGGTTACTTACAGGGAAATTGAACAAGTAGGTGAGAAGAATGAAGCTTATGAGAGCAAAGTTTTTCACTGTTGGAGAAAGAAGTGATAAAAGGGGAAAGGAGAGGCTACAACAAACCCTGCAGTGCAAACTAGAGACACTGTGAGTTCCTAATCTGTAGCCCGCACTGACAGTAGATACACACACGTGCATATGTAAATATTCGTCTCCTAAGCTAGCAGTTGAATGGCCAAAAATAGAGGAGGAGAAAGCAGAGGACTTGCTTCTTGATCAGGAAACCCTTTAACTCAATGACAGTTACTGAGAATCTGAGAACTGACTTATAAAATGTCCCATGGATAAGAAAGGGAATTTTCACCTGTAATCTCAGCACTTTTGGAGGCTGATGTGGCTGGATCACTTGAGGTCAGGAGTTTGAGACCCGCTTGGCCAACATGGTGAAACCCCACCTCTACTAAAAATATAAAAATTAGCCTGGCTTGGTGACGGGTGCCTGTAATCCCAGCTACTCAGGAGGCTGAGGCAGGAGAATTGCTTGAACCCAGGAGGCGGAGGTTGCAGTGAGCTGAGATTATGCCATTGCACTCCAACCTGGACCACAGAGTGAGACTCCATCTCGGAAAAAAAAAAAAAAAAAAAAAATAGCCAGGCATGGTGGTGGTGCATGCCTGTAGTCCCAGCTACTCAGAAGGCTGAAGCGGGAGAATCACTTGAACCTGTGAGGTGGAGGTTGCAGTGAGCCAGAATTGGGCCACTGCACACCAGCTTGGGCGACAGAGTGAGACTCTTGTCTTAAAAAAACGGCGGGGGCGGGGGTGGAATTTTCCTCACTGCGTTGTGATGTGACGTCTCTCAGCCTCACACTACACAATCCTGTCCCCTTCCTAGATCTCATTGTTTCCAGAACAAAGATGGATCTGTTCAGCACAGCCTTTGGACTATGAATCCCGATGGCTAACATCACATTCAGAGCACAAGATGGACACGCTTGTGGCACCCTTTTAAATCACTGCTTCATTGAGCACGGGAGCCCAGATTCTTCTCCTTTTGTTCTGTGTTCCTTTTTCTGTGGAAGGTAGATGTCCCTGTATTTTATTTTATTTATTTTTAGCATTTATTTAGAGATGGAGTCTTTCTCTGTCACCCAGGCTGGAGTGCAGTGGTGAGATCACAGCTTACTACAGCCTCGGCCTGCCAGGTTCAAGCAATTCTGCTGCCTCAGCCTCCCGAGTAGCTGGGACTACAGGTGTGTGCTATCACGTCTGGCTAATTTTTTTTGTATTTTTAGTAGAGACGGCGTTTCACCATGCTGGCCAGGCTGGTCTCAAACTCCTGACCTTGTGATCCGTCCACCTCAACCTCCCAAAGTGCTGGGATTACAGGTGTGAGCCACCATGTCTGGCCAGATATCCCTTTTTAAATTTTTTATTTTGTATTTTTATTTATTTATTTATTTGAGACAGTTTCACTCTGGTGGCCCAGGCTGGACTGCAGTGGCATGATGTCAGCTCACTGCATCGTCCACCTCCCGGGTTCAAGCAATTCTCCTGCCTAAACCTCTCGAGTAGCTGGCATTATAGGCACCCACCACCACACCCAGCTAAGTTTTGTATTTTTTTTTCAGTAGAGATGGAGTTTCACCATGTTGGCCAGGCTGGTCTCGAAATCTTGACCTCAGGTGATCCACCCCCCTTGGCCTCCCAAAGTGCTGGGATTACAGGTGTGAACCACCATGCCCAGCTGATATCCCTTTATTAAAAGTCTCAAAAATCTAACTATTTAGTGAGAGATCCTTGATCTGATGTCACTTTTCCTGTTTTGTAAATTTCTTTTTTTTTTTTTTTTTTGAGACAGAGTCTTGCTCCGTCGCCAGGCGCCAGGCTGGAGTGCAGTGGCATGAATCTTGGCTCACTGCAACCTCTGCCTCCTAGGTTCAAGCAATTCTCTTGCAAGTCCGGAGTAGCTGAGACTACAGGTGGGTACCACCATGTCCAGCTAATTTTTTTGTATTTTTAGTAGAGATGAGGTTTCACCATGTTGGCCAGGATGGTCTCGATCTCTTTGTGATATTGTGCTGGCCTAGAGCCAGAACCAGAGCAAAACTATTTTATAAAATGCAAAACTGTTTTTAGATAAGTTGAAATGGCTGCCCCATTCTCCTTACAATAACTACTGTCCTTGGCCTCTGTGAATAGAACTGCCAGTTTGTTCCTCAAAACTATGTAAAGCTGCCTACCTTTTCTTATCAGTAACTGCTAAAATCTGTGACTTCTATCACCACCCAGACGATGTGTAAACAAATGTATATCCTGACTTCTGTAAACCACTGAGGTAACAAACAGAATGACAAAAGTCCCCTAGACCTTGGAATGTCCGGAGACCCCCGCCCTTGTCTCCACCCAGGAGGTGAATCACAGAATCCCCTAGCCCTTGGAATGTCCGGAGACCCCCGCCCTTGTCTCCACCCAGGAGGTGAATCACAGAATACCCTAGCCCTTGAAATGTCTGAAGCCTTTTCATCCCCATCCCCGCCCCTCACCCCCACTCCCAAGGTGGTTTTTCGGGTATAAAAAATCGTGGCATCCTCCTGTTGCCACCACAGGTTGGAGAGACGTGAGTCCTCTGTGGTCGCTGGCATAATAAATGACCCTACAATCTGGCATACTTTTGTCTTGTGATAACTTTCTACATTCGGTCAAATACAACATCTTGACCTGGTGATCTGCCCGCCTCAGCCTCCCAGTGTGCTGGGATTATAGGCATGAGCCACTGTGCCCGGCTGTTTTGCAAATTTCTAACAGGCAGTTGCCCTGGGCCACCTAGTGGCCTGAAATAATTTAACCTGAGTTAAGTTCATTTAATTCAGGAAGCATTTAACCAAGACTGGATGTCGACTTTTTAGCCAAGGGCACTTCAGAGCAACTGGCTTCAGCTCTTTGAAGGAAGCTATTACCAGTTGTCCCTGGTGAATTATTTTGTCCTTGGACAACATGACCACATGGCAGAAATGCATTGATGGCCAGCACTCTGGGGACGAATGTTTTTGAGTGGAAATTAAACATGCCAAACTGGTTAAAGACAAATATGCAGAGTTGGACAAGTTCTGCAGGTCATGAAGGGCCTTTGAAGCAGCCTTGGTTCCTGTTCTGCTCTACGGGAGGCTCCTGGGTGAGCTGCAGAGCAGACAGGCCCAGTGCCAATGGTTCAGCAAGTACTGTTTCCAGGCATTTGCTAATAAACCAGGGTGACACTGAGGACAAGGAGACTCTGTTGTGATGTAGAAACTCTCAGCCT